GCATCAGCTCTAAGCAGGAGAGGCCTGCTTAGTCCCTGCAGGAGAGGCCTGCATCTGGGAATTAAGCTCAGTACTGGGAAGTGTTAGCAAGCAATTCGCCAGATCTAAGCCATGCTTATTGTTTTATCAATTTATCTGCAATAAAACTGACATTTTAATTTCCATCTGGATGACTCCTTGGGGCTTTTCTCAATTAATTAGGAACCTGGGCAGGAAACAGGGGTGTCATTTATTAGTGTTCTAAATCCCAACAGTAGAATTATCTTACTTGCAGACGGGCCCTCTGATTTGGTTTACCCGCCTCACTAGCCTCATCTCACACTGTCCACTGCCCTCCTTTGATCCTCCAAGAACATCAGGGTGCTTGTAATTTCTTTCACACCCCTTGCTATTTCATGATTTTATGTCTTTGCTTATGTGATCCCTTCTGCCTGTATATCTAATCTCCCTTACCCTACTGCCTGATCTACTCACACTTACCTACTTATCTGTCCTTAGTGCCTCATCTCAGGGACACCTCATCCAGGAAATCTTCCCTGACTGTCGCCTTCCCACCACTCCAGGTTCAGTTTTGGACTCCTATATGAATAAAACTCTGATATGGATACACATGCCCCATTGTTTAAAAATATCTACCTCTCACCACCAGATCGTGAGCCTATTGAGGTGGGGACTAAGTGCTCTTCATCTCTGAATCCCTCAGAATTCAGAACTTTCCACAGAGGACACGCCCAGTACATTTGCATTAAATCCATGCACAAATTAACCAACGGGAAATACCCATTCCTGAGGCTAGACTGAACAGGAAGGTGTATTTACACCAGCCAGAGATCAGAGGCAGAGTCAAAGTTATAGCCAAGGAGACAGGACCAAGCATTTAGTCCACAGGGCAAGGCAAGGCAAAAAAATAACAGAGAGCAGAGGTAAAAATGGACAAGAGGAAGAAGAGGCCAAAAAGGAATACAGTGCAAGGAACAGTTCAGGCAGGTAACACAGAACTGTGAGGGCAAGTGAATCTGGTGCTAACCTCTTTCGTGGTGCCAGGTGCATGGTTAGGGAGTGGGTGAGAATACCTAAGGCCACAGGTGACAGCAAGGGAAAATCCTAGGAGTGAGCAGAAGATGTGGAGCCTGGTACCAGCTCTGCTGCTGAACACTGGATGAGCTGGGATAAGTCACTTCCTTTCCCTGGGAGAGAATTTCCTCATCTATAAACCTAACCAGCACATCCCAGAACACCTCTAAGTTCCCTTCCAGGTCCAAATGTATTGTGATTCCTCAGATACTATTCCATAGTTTGATTGCAGAGGATTCTTCTATTACATAGATAATATAATATTTAGTCTCCAGTTCAATCTCTATATTCAGTCAACCAAAAGTGCTTCCTCTATTTTGATGTCAGTTCTTCTAAAATCAAGATTAGACTAAATTATTTTTGAGATCCCTTCCAGCTATAAAATTTTTACTGTGCTGTAATTTTCTCCATTCATTGAACATTTATTCCTTTCTCCTCTCTGTGCTTGGCATCATGGCACTCTCTGTTCTGAATGAATTTATAATCTTGTTGAAACCAAGAAACACCTTAAAAGTGATTGAGAGAAAAATCTAAGCCATTGTATAATTTAGCACTGAACTGTATGCTATACACTAAAAGGAACTGTCAGATATGAGGGGGATCAAGAGGAGCTGACAATATCAGGGAAGATTTTCTAGAGGACACAGAAGGTAAAAAGAATACAGAGATGGAGGGATGAATGGAGGGATGGACGGGTGGATGAAAGGATGGATGGAGGGATGGAGGGATGGAGGGATGGAGTAGGATATAGCCCAGGCAAAAGTAAACACTTATAAAGATCATCATGAATTTCTGTGGGGGCACATCATGGAAACTTGTTCTGCTAGAGTTAGGAGAGGGGGAAGAGATGGAGGCTAATATCTGTTGTTCTAGATGCTTGCAGCTGAAATGTTTCAGTGTCTGCACTCCTGCAGTCCCTCCCCCTAGGAGTCATCCCCATGCAGAGCTGGAGAGGTGGGCTTGCAAGGGCCATGTTTATACTACATGACAGTTTCACATCCTGGTCACCGATCATTGGACCAGGGGTGGACACAGGACCTAAACTTAGTTCTTCTCCCAGAAATATAGCTTTGGACACCATAAAACTGAATAGGACTTTATGTGGAAAGTTGGTGTAGAAGGGTCTAGCGAAGGGAGAAATAGTGAGAGGTGGGAGCTGAGGAAAGCTGAGGACACCAGTTGTGGAGAGCAAAGAGGGGAGAATTTGCAAAGAGGAAAAGATGGAAACCCCACATGGCAGACTCTAGGGCTCCTGGGAGATGGAGCATGTACCTGGATTCCAACAATCCAGTTCTTGGTTCCTCCCAGGGACTATTTTATATCCTGTTTCTTGATTTCATTTGAACTAGTTTAAGTGGTTTCCTGTTCCTTACAATAAAAAGAACCTCGGCCAAGACTGTCTGTTCACAAACATTTTTCCAGGTTAATCCTCACAACAATTCAATGAGATAGGTATTATTTCCAAGTTATTAATGTGGATACCAAGGCTTAGAGGGACAACATGACCTGCTTAAGCACTTAGCCAGTAAGTCATTGATTAAGGATTCAAACCCAAGCCTGTCTGGCTCCAAAGAACCATTTCACCACACACCCCCAGAGGGGACCTTGTCAGTGTTGAAATCAACAATGAATTGCAATAACACTTTCTCTGTAACCTACACAAGACAGCTCCTCTCTGGGGATCATGCTTTATTTATACATGGGCCAATTCAATAACTTATAGTAATTCTGAGGTTCTCCTGTGGAGATTCAGGCCTAGAAAGCTTATTTAAACTATACTAATTCAGAATTTATGAAAAGTCAGTCATTGTCATTTG